TTCCAAGAACAAAACTAGCCCCTGGGGGTGGTGGTAAGTTGTGTACAAAATTCCTAAGTGGGAGAGTATACTCGCGCAAAAAAACAACAACAAAAAACGATGTAGTGCATTTCGATTTCACTGCATGGTTTTTATTATGGGAGAAATTATCATCATTTCGAATAAAAAATAATTGAAGATTATTTCCTCGATCTTATTTTCACCTTTCAGTTTCATCCAAATTGTTCTCCCTGCGACTTCCGTATCGATAGCTCCGCTTTTAGGCAGTGCCTAAATATATATATTATGAAATCGTATAGTGATTCTTGGGGGGATTAGTTGATCTCTATGATGCTAAATAATCTATCCCCCTTCCCCCCTAGGCGATGATGTACTTACCTCTTAATCTTTACAGTCATTCCTTGCGTGTCAGTACATTCGTTAGGGCAAAGAATCAGTGTTTCTGGACAATCGTCCGCTTTGTGTTTCTCGACTTGGTGTAGAACCATACCAAGTTGACATTCCTCGCATAAAACCTTTTTAAACCAGCACACTTTCTCATGGTTAGCCAATTCTCTTCTCTGCAGCTTGGAGTTGCAGTTCACATTAGGACACTGTACTTGTTGGAAAGGACAAGTTTCTCTGTGTTTGGCGAGTGAATGTAGTTTCCCATTCCATTCACAAGTTTGTTGAACATCTTTTTCATCTAATGCGATAGTTGGAAGGCAAATGCAGATTTATAGGAAGCTAAAGCAGCTATCAGTTTAGTGATACTTTTCTAAAAAGCGTTTTATTCTCTACCCAATGCTTTTGTGCATGTGGAGGTAATAGAAAGTCTTTATTAGATCTTCCTCTTCGTTTACGGCAAAGTTAATACAAGGAAATGATTTTTCTATGTTCATGTCAAAGGCGGTGAAACGCCAGTTGACCAGTGAAAAATACTTTAAAGCTAGTGACATACAGGAAAACGATGAAATGTAACGTGACCAACGTTTGCCGTTTCCGGGATGAAAAATACGCTAAACCAAAAAACTCTATTCATTTTCTCCTACATCGCCCTCCCGTCCCCAATTCCACATATTCCTTAATCCACCCTTGATCAACGACAAATTAAGATTCCTTTTATACTATTTAATCCTTTAGAAATAGTCTTGCGAAAATGATTTCAGCATTGAACTTCAAATTTTTTGTATGTTAAAAAAAAAAAAAAACAAAAAAAAAACCAGATGCATATAACCGTGCATGCCGAAGGATATCGCTTGCCCAAAGCGCTGCTGTATGACAATTGCAAATATGGAGCTTCATTATTAAAACTAATCTAAATTTTTTTAGCCTCACCTTTTGATTCGTCTGGTCTTTGACAAAATACATCTAGTTTCCCCAGGATACCACAGAGGACAAAATTACGTGAAAAGGTCTGGTTATCTATCATTCTACCATCCACTGGACATTTTTTGCTCTCCTTCAACCTCTGGTCAATACATTCTTTGCAGAATGAGTGCCCGTCTTTGCATATCACGGGATCTTCGAATACAGTTTTGCTAGAAATAAATAGAGGTTATAACACTTCTAGTTGTGTATTACAGCAGGATAATTTTACGAGTATTGTAGGACGCGAAAAAACTGAAAATGAGTGCCTGAAAAGCAACCGTTATCTATTGTAAACAAGCAAACTTAAAAGTCACGAGCTCAAAACACTTACATGAGCCGCAGAGAGGAAAAGGAGAAAATTCCTCGCGCTGACATCAAGAAAAAAATGTTCAAAACCTGTTCACAGACCGAGTTTTATCTCTCTGTAATTATATGAATTCGAAAAATGGTCGTAAAACACGCGAAATTGAGCGTGTCGTATGATAATTAATACTGTAATGTTTTCGGCACTCGTTAAAAGGTTAAGCCCCTGTTAAAATATTTTGATGGGAACTGGATTTTAGTATCTCAAATTCAGTATTATTGAAAAATTACCATATAGAAATAAGAACAAACTCAAAAGTTAAGGAATTTTATTTGCCTAACGGCAGCTTTGTTGGAGCCATCTTCCGTTATTATTATTTTTTTATTTTCATTCTGTCATGACTTTAATATCTCCAACCAAAGATTCTGGTCGCATTTTTGCTCAAATATTTCGCTTATATTTTAGTGTTTTAGGTAAAACGTCTTAACCTATATGAAATATCGAAACTAGGAAGTCAGACATTTAGCCGATGTTGGCACTACCGGAATTAGTCAGTCAAATGTGTACCAACCAGAAAGATTAATTTATTATTCAGATCAAATGAATCAGTATGTAAAGGCTGTCGGCCTAAGCTTGAGCTGAAATCCTTATCAAATCAAATCATGCTATAATTATACAGTTAAAACTAAATTAAACTACAGTTTTCACGGTCGGCATGTTGTATGAACAAACGACAAAAGGAAAATCCTTTGTTAAAGATAAACTTCCGGCTAAGACATTTATTGCATTGTTCGACAGGTAGACCAAGCTATGTGATGTACATAAGTATGCTGAAAGAGCTGCGAGGTAGCTAGCAACAGAGAATTAATAGGAAAGAATAACTTATCACTCTTGAATTTTACCTTCTTGTTCTTTGTGTTTTAATTTATTGTCGGGGGAAGGTCTTTCTACTCAATTTTGCGCGAAATACGGCCATTTGAATTTCACCTCCTCTCTCCTCATACCTTTAATACCAAGTGAAGGTTGTCAACTYACGGTCCTCRTATTACCTAGGTAGTCAAGCACTTRAVAHAAAATAATTCGCTCCTRCATGATTCGACAAAAGTTTCTAACCGAAGTTATTTTTYCCGATAAATTTTATATTCCTAAATATTTTTCCTAAGACATTTTCCCCTGAATGAATTTTGATCTCTTTTTCCAGAGTTTTTTTCCTTTCATGCCACTTAAAGGATTTAAATTTGTAAGAGAGGTTTTGTCTACGTTCATACATAAAAACATTTTTTTTTTAATGGATCCTTTTCTGTTATGTGTAATGGCGTCATCGCTCCTACGTAATTCATGAACTGCATTTATAAATATTTCGTAAATTACGTCAGGGTAATAAGGAATATCCTTATCCAGCCGACAAAACATCCACTCGGCTCTTGCCATATCAGAAACCTCGGGAATAGACTTACCGGTAATTTCAGACAAAAGATAGGGAATAGCTTTGTAATATTTCCCTAGTCTTAATTTTTTCAGCGTTTTCCGCAGACTTTGCGGGGTTGGCTCTTCTAAGTACTGTTGCTTCCTTTAAAAGTAAGCTTAAAACTTATTTATTTACTTTATTCCTCAATAATAGGAAATATATTTAGATCTCTTTTGTTTGATTCATTTCCTGCTTTTATGCATATTGCCTTTAGGCTTTTAAGATAAGTTTTTCCTTTTATAATTATATTTACTTATTAATATTTTAAATACGTAGCATTGTAAATATTGTAAATACATATATATAATTTATGCATATATTCCTGTTGTAAAGCGCCTTGGACATGCTCATGGATATGAGCGCTATATAAATAAACTTTACTTTATTTTATTTAAACTTTATTTTTATTTAAGTGGTCTATGATTTTCTTCTTTACTTTGTTGTCTAAATATACCGGTCGATCACCTTGGATGTGACTCATCCAGTCCCTAAAGTATTTTATTCTCTTATAAGGTGTTTTCTTACGGCCTCCATTGGCGTAATACTGCTCTCTGGTAGCATTTGGTACGGCATTACGAATGTTCTTACCACACTCGTAACACTGTGCTGACGTGTCATCTTCTATTTGCATTTTCTTACCACAACAAACAAGCTTCCTTGGTGGTGGAGTAACAAACTTGGGTTTCAAGCACTTTACACAAAAGTCATAAACAAACTCTTTACATTCATGCATCGTATATAAGACAAATATTTTGACACAGCAGCAGTAAGGGAATCATCGCGTGGGTAATACCCACTGCGGACGCATAGTGTTTGGCGGGGTAATACCCAGGCCTCCCGGTACCCCCTCCGCGAGTCCCCCTTACTGCTGCTTAACCTGAGAAACACCCTTAAGATACCGGCTCCATACTGGTGGTCTTTAAAGGTGGTCTTAGATATTTACCAGCCACAGTTACTATATGAAAAAGATCAAAACATCTAAGAGGTTTCTCTTATTTTAAGCTCATCATACATAAAGACAATTTGTAAAGTGGATAGTTTTCTAATATTTGTGACGACTTCATGACACCTTCGTATTTTATGACATCATATTTCATTTTAAAAAAACCAAAACAAACAACAACAAAAAAAAACAAACAAACAAACAAACAAACGCGAATTTGGTCGGTTTGAGCATTTTTTGACCCCCAAAAAATGGCTTAATTATAGGTGAGATGAATTGAAGTTAAGTATGGGTTTTACTCTAAGCTCAGCGATTGGGAAACTGATTTGAATTCAACATTTTAAACATGTTTTGGCAGCCTGCCTTTTTCACCTTTAAAAAAAAACTTAGCTGATCTTTGTGCTAAACTGACTCAATGACGCTGTTTTATTTTATTTTTTAATTGAATGTGACGTCATGAATTACGTAGGAGCGATGACGCCATTACACATAACAGAAAAGGATCCATTAAAAAAAAATGTTTTTATGTATGAACGTAGACAAAACCTCTCTTACAAATTTAAATCCTTTAAGTGGCATGAAAGGAAAAAAACTCTGGAAAAAGAGATCAAAATTCATTCAGGGGAAAATGTCTTAGGAAAAATATTTAGGAATATAAAATTTATCGGGAAAAATAACTTCGGTTAGAAACTTTTGTCGAATCATGTAGGAGCGAATTATTTTGTTTTAAGTGCTTGACTACCTAGGTAATAYGAGGACCGTAAGTTGACAACCTTCACTTGGTATTAAAGGTATGAGGAGAGAGGAGGTGAAATTCAAATGGCCGTATTTCGCGCAAAATTGAGTAGAAAGACCTTCCCCCGACAATAAATTAAAACACAAAGAACAAGAAGGTAAAATTCAAGAGTGATAAGTTATTCTTTCCTATTAATTCTCTGTTGCTAGCTACCTCGCAGCTCTTTCAGCATACTTATGTACATCACATAGCTTGGTCTACCTGTCGAACAATGCAATAAATGTCTTAGCCGGAAGTTTATCTTTAACAAAGGATTTTCCTTTTGTCGTTTGTTCATACAACATGCCGACCGTGAAAACTGTAGTTTAATTTAGTTTTAACTGTATAATTATAGCATGATTTGATTTGATAAGGATTTCAGCTCAAGCTTAGGCCGACAGCCTTTACATACTGATTCATTTGATCTGAATAATAAATTAATCTTTCTGGTTGGTACACATTTGACTGACTAATTCCGGTAGTGCCAACATCGGCTAAATGTCTGACTTCCTAGTTTCGATATTTCATATAGGTTAAGACGTTTTACCTAAAACACTAAAATATAAGCGAAATATTTGAGCAAAAATGCGACCAGAATCTTTGGTTGGAGATATTAAAGTCATGACAAAATGAAAAAAAAAATAATAATAATAACGGAAGACGGCTTGAACAAAGCTGCCGTTAGGCAAATAAAATTCCTTAACTTTTGAGTTTGAGCCAATATGGATCATATCAGTAAAACCTTTTGTCGAACAATAATAACGATAAATATAACAGCGTTTATTAACATATTATCGCATTATAAATAAATGAATAGAAAGTGTTTACGAATATGTACGAGTTCCTAGTATTATAATGATGAGAGGCTGATCTTAAATCMTGCAGATGCTTCGAGAAAGTGCACGATCTTTACAAATTTTCTCAAGGGCAGTTTTTAAACAGAATCCATCACGATTAATTTTTAGACTATAAACAATAAAACTTTCTTATTGCAAATCTAGAATCTTTGTTTGTTACGTTGGATTCAAGATCTAGAAAACATACAGTAAAGAAATGTCTAAATCAGCGTAGGACATTGTTATCTGCATAATGTAGATAAACTCCATGAAAGAGTACTTACCATATTGGGCAAATGAGATTTTCGTCGATATCTTTCACGAACTGTTCAACTTTGTGGCCCATTTATTAATTTTATTGAATAAATATGGCTTCTGAGACGCCTCGAAGTATTTTATATAACTGCATGGGGATAATGAATATTTGCATGCAAGTCATGCGCGAAACAACTAAGGTCGACTTATACGGCGTGTTTACAGTTTAAGCTTCCACGACCCACTGCTTTGAGTAACGAAGGTGGACGACGGAGACGGGGGGGATTTAGCTTTAGCCCATCTTAACCTAATTTTATGGGAATTACATTTTTATTTTGCGTAAGAATAAGAAAAAAGTTTACCTCAAAACCGTGAGGGTAGGGGAGGCCTGCTGTAGACATTGCATCATTTGTATCACATGGAACCTATTGTGGTTTATGTAGCTGTATTGTACATTGGATGGCTAGACTATCATTGGTACTGTTACAGTAGGCTGTAGAAAGTACACCATCTGTGTAACATGGAACCTATTGTGATTTATCTGGCTGTATTGTTAATTGGATGGTTAGACTACCATTGATACTGTTACAGTAGGCTGTAGAAAGTACACCATCTGTGTAACATGGAACCTATTGTGATTTATCTGGCTGTATTGTACATTGGATGGTTAGACTACCATTGATACTGTTACAGTAGGCTGTAGAAAGAACATCATCTTTATAACATGGAACCTATTGTGGTTTATCTATCTGTATTGTACATTGGATGGTTAGACTACCATTGATACTGTTACAGTAGACTACAGAAAGTACATCCTCTGTTTAATAACATGGGACACATCGTCTTGTCTATGCAAGTTGAATTGTACATTTTACAATTAAAATCCCATCTGTACTGGTGCAGAAGTCAGTGGATAGTGCACTTGTTGCTTTCATTAACTGTGGTCGTCCTACTGTAGTCTTTTCCTTACTAAATGTAATTTTTCCAGCCCAGGTGGCATCTTCAGTATCGGTATTGTGGCTTATCACTGAAAACCTTGTAAAAAATGAATCCAAGTCAGTGCTACGAAAATAATAAGTATGAAATCATTATGGAATGGATTAATAGTAATATCAATAGTCTTAACGAAAGTAAAGAAAGCCAAGTATGAATGATGTTACTTTCATGGTAAGTAAGTGGAAGGATTTAGCTTATCGACAGCTAGTGAAATACAGCGCATATTCTTTTCATACTTGCATAGCTTTGTTCACAAATGACCACACTGATCACTAACCTGCAGCACACAATGGTCTTGACACTAGGTATCACAGGTCCCCTTACAAAAGACATAGCTGTCGAGCCTGTCGCTTCATTAAGGCAAAGGTACAAGGACACAAAACCTTCTTCATCTTGATCACCATTAGGGTACAGCTCTAGAAACCAGCTGTGGCCGCATAACCAGAAGTTAGGAGATCTAAAGTAGGAGCCCGAATGTTTTCGGAATAGTGCTGGGTAGTCATGTATTGTCCATACAAAAGTGCTTAGGTCGTCCTAGGGACCAAAACACAAATAGGAATAGTTCCTTAAGTGTCAGCAGCAGTAAGGGGGACTCGCGAAAGGGGTACCGGGAACGACCAGGATTTCCCGCCTCAAGTGGTTGCCGTCCGCAGCGGGAATTACCCGTAGGCAGGTATTTTGGTAGCGCGAATGGTGGTTAAAATATTTGTTGGATATACGATGCACGAATGTAAAAAGTT